TTTCATTTTTCTGCATGTATATGCGGTTTTCCTAACACCATTCACTGAAGAGATCATCCTTTCCCCATTGGGTATTCTTGGCTCCCTTGCTGAATATTAGTTGAACATATATGCAGAGTTTGATTCTGGACTATTGGTTTTTGGGTTTTTTGGGGGGTTTTTTTGTTTTTTTTTTTTGAGAGAGAGAACACACACACACTCTGTGGGGAGAGGCAGAGGGAGAGAGAATCCTCCAGCAGACTCCTCGCTGAGCACGGAGCCTGACACAGGGCTTGATCCCAGGACCCTGAGATCATGACTTGAGTCAAAATCAAGAGCCAGCCGTTTCAACCAACTGAGCCACCCAGGTGCCCCTGGACTCTTGTATTCTGTTCTACTGGTCTATGTGTCTGTTTTTATGTAGGTCCCATATTGTTTTAGTTACTATAGCTTTGTAATACACTTTGAAATCAGGGAGTGTGGAGACTTCGGTTTTGTTCTTCTTTCTGAGGGTTGCATTGCCTATTTGCAGTCTTTTGTGGTTTCATGCCAGTTTTAGGATTGTTCTATTTCTGTGAAGAATGTCATTGATTTATTTTTTTATTCATTTTTTTGAGAGAGAGAGAGCATGAGTTGGCAGGGGAGGGGGGGGGAGAGGCAGAGGGAGAGGGAAAGAAAGAGTCTTAAGCAGGCTCCAAGCTCAGCACAGAACCCAAAACAGGGCTCCATCTCAAGACCCTGAGATCATGACCCAAGCCAGAATCAAGAGTCAAACCCTTAACTGACTGAGCCCCCCAGGTGCTCCTGTCATTGACATTTTGATAGGGATTGCACTGAATCTATGGATGGCTTTAGGTAGTGTGGACATTTTAGCAATATTTTCTTTGCATCCATGAACATGGGATATCTTTCCACTTGTGTCTTCTATTTTTTCCCCACAATGTCTCGTAGTTTTTTTGTACAGACCTTTCACTTCTTTGGTTAAATTTATTTTTTTTCCTTTGGTTAAATTTACACCTAGATATTTGTTTTTGATGCTCTTGTGAATAGCACAGTATTTATTTTTCAGATGTTTCATTATTGGTGTGTAAAAGTGCACCTGATTTCTGTATGTCAATTTTATATCTGCAACTTTACTAAATAGGTTGATTAGTTCCAACAGTTTCTTTGGGTGAGTTTTTGGAATTTTCTATATACAAAATCATATCATCTGCAAATAAACACAATCTTACTCTTTTCCAATTGGATGCCTTTTATTTCTTATCTTGCCTACTTGCTCTAGTTAGGACTTCTAGTACTATATTGAATAAGAGTGTCAGGAGTGGCATATTTATCTTCTTCCTGATCTTAGAGGAAAAGCTTCCAATTTTTCACCATTTAATATAATGTTACTTGTGGGTTTGCCATATATAACCTTTATTAGGTTGAGGTGTGTTCTTTCTATACCCAATATGTTGAGGGTTTTTATAATGAAAAGATGCTGTATTCTGTCAAACCCTTTTTTGCCTCTATTGAGAGGATCATGTTATTTTTGTCTTTCATTCTACTAATGTGATGTATTACTGTGTTGATTTCCATGTTGAACCATCCTTGTACCCCAGGGATAAATCCCACCTGGTTATGGTGTATAATCCTTTTAGTATGGTCTTGAATTCAGTTTGCTAATATTTTGTTGAGAATTTTTGTATCTATATTGATCAGGGATATTGATTTATAGTTTTCTTTCTTGTGTCCTTATTTGGCTTTAGTATCAGGGTAATGCTGGCCTTGGAGAAGGATTTTGGAAGTGCTCTCTCCTCTTCAAGTTTTTGGAAGAATTTGAGAAGGACTAGCATTAATTTTTCTTTATATGTTGGGTAGAATTCACCAGTCAAGTGGTCTGTTCCTGGGGAATTTCTGTGTTGGGAGGTTTTGATTACTGATTCAATCTCTTTATTCAATATTGGTTTGTTCAAATGTCTACTTCTTCATTATTCAGTCTTGGTAGGTTGTGTTTTTCTAGTAATTTATCCATTTCTTCTAGGTTATCTAACCTGTTGGCATATAATTGTTCATAGTAGTCTTTTATGATCCTATGCATTTCTGTTATTACCAATTATAACGTCTCCTCTCATATTTCTAATTTTGAGTTTTTTTCTTAGTCTATCTAAAAGGTTTGTCAACTTTATCTTTTCAAAAAGAGAGAAAAATAAATACTATATGATATCACTTATATGTAGAATCATGAATGGTTATGGCGGTTATCAGGAGCTAACCATCCTGGCAAGTGGGGTAATAGGAGACATACTGTTTAAGGGTACAAACTTGCAACTAGCAGTAATAAGTCTTAGGGAGCTGATGCACAATATAGTGAATACAAAAATAATGTATTAGAATCCTCAAACTTGCTAAGAGACTAGATCTTAATTACCCTAACCACAAAAAGGAAATAATTATGTGACATGAGATGCTATAATTATGATGAAAATCATATTACAATATATAAATGTATGAGGTCAACATGTTGTGCACCTTAAGTTGCACAATGTTATATATATTTTTCAATTAAAAAAAAAAAGCAAATTCTAAACCAGGCATATATCCCCAGGTAGACAGCATGAGTAAATCTTATTTCCTTTTTTGCAATTTTTTATACTTTCGCAAATTTTCTTGCAATAAGCTTATTGTCATAAGGATGTCAGGGAATGAGAACAACCAGTCCACATCAGTGATTAATCTGCAGAAAATCTATTAGTATAATACTATAGGGAACTATCTTCCACAGCATGGATGAAGAAGCTTTAGGCCAATGAAACAAAACACTGAAAATAGGTAATCTTAACTGTTGCTACAAGTCACTGGAATCACACACACTATACCAGGATGCACTATGTGAGTCACAGGAAAATTCAGTATATTAAAATTAATGCCATCAGGGTGGAATTATACTTTTTTTTTTATTCATGTGACAGAGAGAGGAGAGAGGGAATATGAGCAGGGGAGAGAGGCGGAGGGAGAGGGAGAAGCAGACTCCTCGCTGAGCCAGGAGCCTGATATGGGGCTTGATCCCAGGACCCTGAGATCATGCCCTGAGCTGAAGGCAGACGCTTAACCATCTGAGCCACCCAGGCGCCCCAGGATGGAATTATACTTTTGAAGACTGCTCTACAAAATACAGTATACAAGACTACTGAAGTTTGAAAACCGTTTCCTTTCTCTGTAAAAATGATTTTGAAAAGTTTTATGACAATGATTAGGATGAGAAAGTATAGCTTTTATATTGGAAAGCTAGATCATTATGTTCCAGAGAGAAAAAAAGAGATGATGGAGGATGGAGGATGGGAAGGCAAGGCAAGGCAAAAACGTAAAGGCAAAAAGGCACAGGCAAGGCAAGGGAAGGGAGGGAGAAAGGATAAGCATATAGTTTTGATCAGGTATCCAGGAAACTACATTTTTCCCCCTTTGGAAGGAGAGTACACTGAACAATGTGGAGTTATTCTAGCATAGAAAGTAATATATATATATTTTTTAATTGGCATGGATCAGGAACAAGACAAAATAACTCTGAAACAATTCCAGGCAAACACATTTTCACCAGGAGCTTTATCTAGTCTGAACTGAGCTACTCAGGAGGGTGATCACAGCTCTGCTGTGGTGCAAGTGCTCCCTGGGACCCTCACTGTGGTGATGACTAGGGCCCCGCCCCTCACTGCCAGTCACACAAAGCACATTCTAATGAGACATCAATTTTACAGTATGATTTCAGGGCAAAGGGTGTCATATGTAAACAAACCCGCAATACTGTTACTCAAAAAAGGTAACTACACAATATATTTCTGGGTTATAAAGACTTGTAGGATGGTTTCATAGAAATTCCAAACTATAATATGACACTCCTCAGTGTCAGCAATTAGTAATTTAGGGAGAGAGTTTGGGAAATTCTGACAAAGTTTAAGGTAAGGCATAAAGGATTATAGGCCTGAGTTAATGTTATAAAGTTATCTTAATCGTAAGTAACATTTTCTTAGTGCTCATAGTCAGGGAAATGAAATACTAATGACTTATTTAATACTGCAGAAAACCTGTCTGGAATAAAAACAAATGATTTAGTAGAACTATAATAATAAAGAATTAAAGTTAACTTAAGATCCTGCTGTGTGGCCTACTTCCAAGAATCTACCATCATAATTAATAACATTATTGATAGAGTCTGGGTATACTGTCTATTATTGTCTAAAAGTATCTCCCCCTCACTATTGTGCACAGGCTCTATTTCATTTCTTGCCTACACACACACTCATTTGCACAAATATACATAATAGAAGGAACTGACCTCATGCACACATTTCTTTCCCAAGGACCTGAGGGATTAGGTCTGTTAATAAAACAGCCTCTATTGAAAACAATAAGGAGTTTTCTCAAAAAATTAAAACAGAATTACCACATGATCCCCCCATTCCACTTCTGAGTATATATCCAAAAGAATTGAAATCAGGATCCAGATGAGATATTTGCAGACCCATGTTCACAGCAGCACTATTAAGTGCCAAGAGGCCAAAGCAACCCAAGTGGCCATCAACAGATTAATAAACAAAATGTGGTAAATACAATGGAATATTTCTCAGCCTTTACAAGGAAAGAAATTCAACATCTGTCACAACATGGACAAAGTTGTTGTGAGTGAAATGAGTCAGTCACAAAAAGACAAACACTATACAATTCAACTTACATGAGGTATCTAGACTTGTCAAATTCATAGAAAGAGAAAGTAGAATGAGGATTGCCAAGGGCTGAGAAAAAGGGAAATAGAGTTCTTTTAATAGGTATAGACTTCCAGTTTTAGAAGATAAAAAAGTTCTGAAGATTGATTGCACAATACACTTACTGAGTACACTTAGGTACAATTAAGATGGTAAAATTTATATATATTTTACGATTTTAAAAAAAACAGATGCTACTTTAATTCCTGATTATATCTGATTTTCTCTATTTGTTTATAGTAATCCTTTCAACAGTGCTTGCTTTGCTGTTCCTCTTTTGTGATGGAGCAAATTCTTTCTTCACTGGAAACGGAAGAGTTTGCCCAGAGCTCTGGAGAAAATGGTACTGTGGTTTTCACTCTGGGGTCAATGGTCAGTAACATGACAGAAGAAAGAGCCAATGTGATTGCATCAGCTCTTGCCAAATTCCACAAAAGGTAGATAAAATACCTTTTAGTGAACAGCTACTTAATGGTCAAACTCTCTAAGTTTTGATTACAAACATTTCCTGTAAGAAAGGTAAATTATTACATCTACAATTTATCTCAGATATCAGTTTAAAAACCAAAATATACATGGCAGATGCTGTAGTAGTACAGAGGGTATACTTTATTGACGATAACTTTGACATTAAAACTGTGAGAGAGATATATATATATATATATATACATACACACATACACACACACACACACATATGAGGTGCAGTATGAAATTTTGGTATTATAATGGTACTGTGGACAGGTACAAAAATCTCCAAATTTTGCTTTGTTATTTGTTCCTTTTCGATGAAGGATTCCTGAGGGCACTGTACACACTATAGATGTTACCAGGAAAAAGTTAAACTTTAATAGTAGCTGTACCAGCACAATGTTAAGCAATACTGATAAAAATCTGAATGCATAATGCAGTTTTTGCACTTTCCATGTAATCCTGGCCTCTTTTACTTCCCCTAAACTTCGGATAGGCCTATTCAGTGTGCTTTTCAGGGTGCTATTCAGAGAAAGGATACCCAGAGCTCACCAAGCTGTGTCCGGGTGTCCAAGCAAGCTACAATGATTTAGAGAAAGAAAAATCGGTCTGCCCCAGTTGAATGGGCCCTACCAAAGTCTGAAATGGGAAGGTAAAAGATAAAGGGTGGAGATGGGTTCTGTCCTTGAGGTGAGCCCTGGCCTCAAATGGACTCTGCTTCTAATCAATCAGATTACTGCTCATGATTGAGGAAGAAGGGAAAAAAGGGGTCAGGCAGAAAGAAGACTGGCATGAAAAGGGCTCAGATGCCTCTTCCATAAAATATATTAGTTTTTACTAATATATAAATAACTTTTCCTTTCTGATAGAATCTTCACCTAATCACCTATGTTAATTTTTTGCTGAGAATCTAAAGTTACTTTATATTCACATAACAAATAGAAGTTAAACACTAATAAATCATAATCCAGTTTATGGGGATTGCTTGGGAATTCCAAAGTCGACACCAGATTTTGGTACTGGCATAGGCAATGCTATGTGCCTTTTTTGAAGTGTTAAAAGTCAGCTGAATAAATTCTAGCATTCCGATTTTGGAATTTTTTCAACATCCATGTTATTTGTAAATTATCAACAAGCTCTTTCTAAATCAAAAGAATTTCCAAACCTAGCAATAGTGGTAATACTCCGGGTCCATGTCAAAAATTATCAACTGAAATTTTTCTTGGAGGTATTGCTTAACAATTTATAATCTAAAAGAAGTTACACTTACTTCCTAAGCAGAATTAATAAATTATAAGGAAACACAAATACTTCTCACAAGCACCTGATTGCATAGATTAGCCTTTTTGTACATCAAAAAATGTAAAACTCCAATATAAGAACTTGAGAAACAGGTGGATATAAGTAAATTCCCTTCTGTGACAGTTAAAAAGAAATACAGGTTAGTATTTAAATTTAGAAAACAAGAGTTAGTATATATAGCAAAATAAATGTATAGATTAATTTGTCACTGTTTTCTGTACTAGAATCATGATTGCCTAACAATTTCTTAAATATATGAATTTGTTATTGATAATCTATGCCACTATGATTTGTCCATGCCACGATGTGTGAAATGCCATGACTTTATTCCATATCTGAACATAAAAAAATAGGTACATGTTATACGAGCATTTCTATTACATCAGTGTTTTATTGGTTCTCATTACCTAACTAACACCTCCTGTCCTCATTTCCTCAGCTGTCATATGGAAGGCATTTAACTAGATGTCTTTAGATCTCTCTAGAATTCTAATATGCTGTAAAACTTTGAAGTTCAACTCATAGAATAGGTATTTTCTTTACCCCAACAAGTTCTATGGAGATTTGATGGCAAGAAACCACAAACCTTAGGACCCAATACTCAGCTGTATAAGTGGATCCCCCAAAATGACCTTCTTGGTATGACTCCGGAGAACAAATACTGCAAACATGAGTAACAGCTGGTAACAGCTGAGCAGAGCGATAGCTCAACAAAAAACGAATTTATTGAGCATTTACTATTGAAATACTAAAAAATAAAACTTAAGTTATTTGTATTATTTCTAGTCCTAGGAAAAAATATAAAAGTTAGCATTTTATTACATACAGTCACACTCCTTATGGCCAGAATCAAAATACCTTTATTTCAGGTATAATTACTTCTCACAGGTGAATTTTTCAATAACAACCTAAATTGTTGCTCTCTTTGAATTCTCTCCTTATACCTTTCTCCTACTTGCAGAGGTACTTCAAATGCTATTGAAAAAGAATAGCTCTTCTATTGCCAGCAGTTCTCCATTTTCTATAGGGAAAAAATCTACAGTATTTTTCATTAATAACACATTTTATGATTAAATGTAGGTTCTCCTTCCTCTGGTTCCAGTGCCACCACCATCACTCTTCCTGCAACCCCGACACACCCTATGTATCAGACTCAATGACTTCACTATTTCTTTAAGAGAATGTTTCTAACATGCCCTCCTCTTTTTGCACATGTTCTTTTTTTTTTTTAAGATTTTATTTATTTATTTGACAGAGAGAGGCAAAGTGAGAGAGGGAACACAAGCAGGGGGAGTGGGGGAGGGAGAAGCAGGCTCCCCGCTGAGCAGGGAGCCCAATGTGGGGCTGGATTCCAGGACCCCGGGATCATGACCTGAGCTGAAGGCAGATAATTAACGGACTGAGCCACACAGGCGCCCCACATGCTGTTTCTTTTTATCCAAAATGTTCTTTCAATTTGTTCGCCTGCCAATCTTGTATTCATTTTTGAAGTCAAACACACCACTTCTTTATTGTAATTTTCATCTACCTCTCTAGAAGACTTACACGCTTCTTGCTCTGAGTTCTGAAAGTAATTTAAATGCACTTTCACATGTATAATAATGTTATCTAAAAAAAGAAAAACACTGCCTCTAGATTCAGTGCATTACAATGTTTATTTCTCATTTTAAAGATATAATAATTTTAGTGAAATTCACTCAATCCTAGGTCATCCAAAAACCAAAGCCTTTGTAACTCATGGTGGAGCCAATGGCATCTATGAGGCGATCCACCACGGGATCCCCATGGTGGGCATTCCTTTGTTTGCGGATCAACCTGATAACATTGCTCACATGAAGGCCAAGGGAGCAGCTGTTAGTTTGAACTTGAACACAGTGTCAAGTACAGATTTGCTCAGTGCATTGAGGACTGTCATTAATGATCCTTCATGAGTACCATTTTTTTTTTTTTTTTTACTAGATACTATTTCTAGAGAGATGCTCATATGAAAGCCAGGCAGGAAGCAATGAGTCCAAATAGGAAAACAATTATGACTAAGATTTGCTCAATGCTTTGAAGACCACCATCAACAATCCATTGTGTCAGAGTAAGTTTTTTTTGGTAGTTTTAGGGAAAAAGTTTGTAAGACGTTTAAGGATAGTAAAGAAATTTTTGACATAATCAATAAAAAGAATCACTAAAATGGTTAACAGAAAGACTAAGAGGAAGCATTGAGAATGAGGTTGAAGCAGGGAACCATGAATGCTACAACAGTACTAATCTGCACAATTACGACTTTCAGCGTAACTCACCAACTGTTTATTAAACTCTTCTAAAATGGTTTAATTTCTGTAAACCAGCATGATGTTAATAATCTCAAATTCCCATTAAACACTTCCAAAATTTTCTATGCTAATATTTTGATCCCATCACTGATAAATGATAAATAACTACAACTTTCAAATTTATCCAATTAAAACTTTGTGAATACTACTTATAAATGCAGTTATATTCTTAGTAATTTTGGTTATGCTTGTTTTGTTTTGATAGAACGATAAAATCAAAAAGTAATTGATTTGGAAGAGATCTATTGGAATATTTTTATTTTTTTTAAGATTTTATTTATTTGACAGAGAGAAGCACAGTGAGAGAGGGAACACAAGCAGGGGGAGTGGGAGAGAAGCAGGCTTCCCACTGAGCAGGGAGCCCGATGCAGGGCTCAATTCCAGGACCCTGGGATCATGACCTGAGCCGAAGGCAGATGCTTAACGACTGAGCCACCCAGGTGCCCCTAGAATATTCCTGTTTAAAAGCCAAATTTTCTGGACCAGAAATATTTGGTTTCCAAATTATTTCAGTATATACATTAATTGGTATACTCTTCCTATTATTACTAATATCATAAGTATATGTTTCCCCTTTTTTTTCATGACTTTAAAAATAAAATTTTGTGAATGTTTGGTTATAATATCACAGGGGACATCTGCATTTTAAAAGTAATGTTGTTTAATTTTAATTTAGCCCAACTATTATTCATCCTAAGTAAACATCATGGGAAGCACATTTTTGTTTTTGTTTTTTTTTAAGGATATCTTTGACCTGGCAGTTTTATGTAAAAGCAGATCTTTCTAAAATTGATGTCTTTTTACATTTTTTAATTCTTAATAAGGTAAAGCTGTACCCCAAAAATGAAGAAAATTTATTAGCAGATATGTATTGAATGTTTATGATATTGGTACACACTGTACTAAGTTCTTTGTACGGATTAAGTAACTTCATTATAGTTGTTCCCTACTGTATTACAGGTATGTTTCAGGATTACTTCTCTCCTCTCAAAAACCCTGTGGTGCTCTCACTGTGGTTTTCACAGGACAGACAGAAGTTACCTCCATGGTTATTGCTACAGTGCCATAGCACGTTGTGACCTAAAGTTTGTAAGCCCTCTTTATTAATCCTTCCTCTTTCCGTTAGTCCATAATCATTTCAATAGTAGAAACAAATGCAACTGGCAATGCCTGCAAGAGAAATGTTGAGCGCTCTCCATATTCTAAAATGACAACACTAACAAGAAAAACCACAATACCAAATACAAATGGAGTCTCTAAATGATAAGGACATCTCCAAGAATCAATACATTATTCCTCAAAATCATCAGATTAAGAAAGGTACTATGCCTATCCATTCAAAAATGAAAAACTGAGAAACAGAAATGATAAAAAAGCAAAGTGTCAGAGTCAAAACTCAAACCAACACAATCCATTCCACACTTACAACCACTAATTCACTGTTATCAAGTCAATACCAGCTCTTGATCAGCTCTGCCCAGACATGTCCCTGAACCTCACATGGATTTTGTCTCCTATCTCTGGATTATGATAGTATTTTGAAACTTGCTTACCAGATCTATTAACAATTCCTTACTGGATAATTCAAAATTTGCATGTCAAAATCATGTAATTTTTTTTTTTTTTTTTGCCTTAGGGACTTAACTCATTCCACTTTCTAAGCTAGAAATACTTGTCATCTCCCAACTTTTTTTTCTTCAGTTTGAAATCCTAGACATTCAACAAATTCCAGCCCATAAAGATCTCTATAATTGCCTCTAAAAAAAAAAATATTCTTCCAGTGTTATGTGGCACTCATTTTTACCATCCACATGAAAATTTCACTTATCTTTTCTACTTTGTTCTGTAAATCATTTGATTTTCTTTCGGCTATAAAGAAAATGTTATGTGGTTATCAACCATTCATCATGATCAGCTTATAAAGCCTCTGGATGGAGCAGTCTTCTGGATTGAGTTTGTCATTCGTCATAAAGGAGCCAAGTACCTATGCCCAGCTTCTTACAACCTCACCTAGTTCCAGTACCACTCTTTGGATGTGATTGGGTTCCTACTGGCCTCTGTGGCAATTGTTACTTTCCTTGTCATAAAATGTTGCTTGTTTTGTCAAAAGTTTAAGAATGGGGCGCCAGAGTGTCTCAGTCATTAAGCGTCTGCCTTAGGCTCAGATCATGACCCCGGGGTCCTGGGATGGAGCCCCACATCGGGTTCCCCGCTCTATGGGAAGCCTGCTTCTCCTTCTCCCACTCCCCCTGCTTGTGTTCCCTCTCTCGCTGTGTCTCTCTCTCTGTCAAATATATAAATAAAATCTTAAAAAAAAAAAGTTTAAGAAAGAAAAGAAAAAAAGGGAATAGACTTTTGAGACATAGTAGGCAAGTAAGCTAGCAAGCATAAGTAAGATCACTCCATTTAATTCAACCACTGTGGATCAAGTTGTGACAGATTCTCCTCCACATTTTATAAGACTTGTGCCTCACCCAAATATTTTACTCTTGGTTAAATATATTGTATTAGTTAATCCATTCTACCCTAAGGGGTAAATGATCCTATGTATTTTTTGACATCTACTTCCCTCAATATTCTTGTCATTATTCAATTCTGTTCATCAAACCAAAGAGACATGCTACCTATAAAGATGGATTATATTCCATTCACAATTCTCATTTTAAAAATCCTCAAATAATTCTACTTTAATACGGACATATATAATCTCATAACTGAAAAAAAGACTCACTAGCGTTTTAGTCTGTGACTTAAGAAGCCTGATTATTTTTACCATGCATTTTCAGAAATATCTGCTGTATAAATAAAATCAAATAGAATACATGTGCCCCGACAAAGAAAAACACAGCTGAATACTTGTTAAAGGTGGCAAGACAGATGTTATTCATACTACTGTAGTAGGGAAGAGAGATTCCAGTATAAACTTTTAACTCCAACTAAGACAAAGGTGACTGATGTTTTTAAAGGGAGAGCAACTGGGAACAAAAAAGAACTATACACAAGTAAAAAGAGAAAGGAATAAAAAAGGGACTAGGGTCATATGATACATGTCTTTCTCTGATTGACTTATTTCACTCAGCATAATACCCTCCAGTTCCATCCACATCGTTGCAAATGGCAAGATTTCATTCTTTTTTTTTT